TCCCCGGGTGGGGAGGATTGCACAAACACACACATAGAGTAGTCTGGCTATCTTTGTGAGGACACTGATGAATTTAAAAGCCTCTTTCTAATATTTAATCCTTAACCCAGCCTGATCATCACAGAAGGCTTCAATCATTCACTCATGTTCTTTGGATAAGTGGTTCTGGAGAAGACTGCAACCCCACACCCTGTTACTGTTTAAAATGCAGTGAGTGTGTGCTTGTAGCTGTCATCGTTTCCCACAGTAACCTAATAACTGCTATGTTTACTCAACACCTCTAAATTATAGTCTCTCGCAAACAGGAAGCATACCAATCATTTGAACACAGAGATGAAGCTGTAAAGTCTTAAATGAATTCAAATCTATTTATTTTGTCTTTTGGACAAGCTCCAGAGAAACTTGTGTGACAAATGACTAACCTCAGAAAAGGTTTGCCAAGATGTTATTTGTTGAAGCAAGCATGCAGAGGAAAGTACAACAACAGCTCTAGAGATTCACACTTCACTGCAGAGTGAGGGAAAACAATCGTAGTTGTAAATGACTTGTCAGCGACGTGCAGTCAACTATTTTTTTTCTGTCTTGTCACTGTATAATTTTCACGTCAAGAAACATAGACCATGCCCTGTGCTCTCTCCTTATCACCCACCAAATATAGAAAGACAAAAAGCAGAAGTTATAACTCAGCACTTCATTCTTCACCATATTAAAAACATGTTTGCTTTGTAATTGAGAAAACTCCCTGTGATAAAGTCTGTAATTAGGAAATTTGTATTATGTTCCCGATCAGTTATCATGCATAGGTTTGATAAAATTGAGCAACTTTGAGGGGCTTTCTTGAAGGGGCGACACTATCATTGGCCAGCAGGTGTCAGTGTAGACCCAGTGCACTTATAGAGGAGGGCTGGATTCACACTTTGAGGTACTTTGTACTTGGTGACAGTGGGGAAAACGAACTCCCTTCTGTCAAAGGCCTCGTCTGGTTAAGGAGAGAGCAGAAGGTGAGCAGTAAGAAAAACAGCACACAGTAATAACGAGAGGTTGGTTGCGCAAGTGAGATGTTCAAGTCCAGAGCTAGAGAGAGAGACAGAGAGAAGGCTCTGAGGACAAAACGCAAAATATGGGTGAGAGAAACGATCCAAATTTAACAGCATGCATGAGACTCAGTGTTAACCAAACAGGATGTTTACCAGAACTGGCTGAAATACTCTCATTTTCTCGAATGTTTTCATCCCCAAGATCTGAGTCTACAATTAACACGGGCTCATCAAAACTGGACAAAAAATGTCACTCGGTCTGATGAGTCTCAAGTTCTGCTGAAACATTTGGTTGGTAGGGTGAGAATTTGTGATAAATGACATGAAAGCATGGATCCATCCTGCCTTGTAGTGAAACTCAAGCTGGTCGTGGTGTAACGGCGTGGGGGATATTTGCTTGGCACGTTCTGTGTCCCTTAGTACCAACTGAGCACCATTTAAACACCACAGTCTACCTGAGTACTGTTGTTGATCATGTCCGTTCCTTCATGACTACAGTGTACCATCCTCTGATTGCTACAATAATGCACCAGGCCAAAAAGCTTGAATCGTCTCAAACTGGTTTCTTGAACATGACAGTGACTGTACTCAAATTGAGTCACCAGATTTCAGTCTAATAGAGCACCTCTGAATAGTGGTGTAACGCGAGATTTGAATCACAGATAGGCAGTCGACGATTCTGCACCAATTGTGTGATGTTATCTTCTCAACTCTGCGCTAACAAAATGTACTTGATATAGTGGCCAGTTGGTATTTATATATTTTAAAACAGTGACCAGTGACTTTTTGAACATTTTAGCAGATAAAAATACGTGAGATTACAGGATATATATCACACAGGAAATGCATTAAAAGTAGATTCTGTGTGATATCGTGTCAGTTATTTGAGTCTTCAACAGCTGTAATGTCTGCAAAAATGAAAGCAATGCTGTGTGAATGCTTGTAGATGTCAGTGATAGCGTCTGGCCTTTTTCCTGTAACTCAAATGATACTGTGGTAGTCTATACTGACTTTATATACTGGCAGTGTATCAATCTAAAAATGACTATCTTCATTTAGTTACAGACTGGTGACTTTATGTGTCTGAACAGCTTGGGCCTCTTTAGAAACTGGTGTCTGGTTTGACACTTGGCTATAGTCTACTTCAATCTTGTGAAGACTTTAGGTTGATTCTGAGGTTTGTGACTTCCTACTTCACAGTACTTATACATCCATGAGGCTAGTGCTGTCAAAGTGTCATCTAGTAACACAGCACGACAGAGACCACATCAGACCTGCTGCAGACAAAACAGAAACAAAACGAACCGGTAAGAATTTTGTTGTTGCATTTTGTGAATCCATTGTCCAGTTTCACTTTCAAAGAGCAGGTTTTGATGACTCAGATCCATATTCACTGGAATCATGAAATGTACTGGAAATGGGTAATATCTTGCCAGTTTAATATGAGCATGAATGATGTGGCTTGTAATATATCTTTCAGATAAAGACTTACTTTAATAAAAGCTGCAAAACTACTTTTGATAGAATTTTTAGAAGATTTTGGCACAGTTTCCATCAGCAGCAACACAGTAACCAAATAAATCAATGAATGACAAAATATATATAATCCAAATTGTTCATGCCAGTCCTCCTTCCTAATTTAGTGCTTTTAGGTGTTATCGCTGTCTTTATTGTGATGTAATAATGTTAGCTGTTGAGTTAATTACTGTCATATTTAATTCATTGTATATGCGTGTGCTACATCATTAGGTCATGTTATACATCTGCAGTTGAAGTTGTGTATAGAGGATGTGGGGAACAAGAGCAATAAGTGTGAAAGACAAAGAGATGCAGAGATACTGCCAACAAAATTATTCAGCTTTCAGCTATCAAGCTGCTTTCAAATAATGCTGTTTTGTTCTGCAGTGTCACTCTAAAAATGCATGCTGGAGGTGCAGAATAAAAGCGTTGTTCTTCTTCTTCTTCTTCTTCTTTTTTTTTGGGGGGGGGGGGGGGCAGTAGTGTTGGTGACCACTAACTGTGAAAACTCACACAGACGGGCTGACCAGAATGACAAACAAAAGAAAGAGAAGAAAAGAATAGAATAGGCAGCAATAAGAGCAGCCAGTTTGGCAAAGAAAAAGAGTATCTACCTTAAAATGTAAAGTGCTTTGAGGTGACTGGTGTTGAATTAAACTCACTTGAATTGAAATGGATTGAATTATAGTTTATATCACCAGATGCCCTGGTTACAAGTGTTTGGCCTAATTCATACTTTAAATCCAGAGTTTTGTGCAGCTATTTTCCTGCCCTCATAAGTTGAGCCCTTTTTTTCGCCACGTTGACATATGCACTGTTGCGTCTTGTGAGTTTACATAAAT